GATTGCGGCTTCCCCGCTCTCTCCAGATGAGTATGCGATGAGAATCGCTATTCAGACTGAATCTACTCTCATCTGTAAAGAGTACTCGTCCCCATTCATTGTCTCTCCAATTCCGGTGTTCCCGGCACCACAGAGAACACCTTCTCCGATGGGCAGGCGTTAGAGGTACACACCGTACAGGGCGTCGTGCAAACAGACCACCACCGTGCAGTCTTCTGGCCACGGTAAAACGCGATATCGGTCGTCCAGTCGCCTGTGTCGTGTGTCTAGCGATTTCTCCCGCTGTCTGCCGCCTGTTTCTTCTGGCCTGTAAGGCAATATACCGGTCATCTGCGGGTGTGGTTCCTCGTGGACGACCACTACTAAAACCCGGATAGCTGTTCCTATAGTTAGAAATTGTCTCCAAAGTCGTGAAACGATGCTGTGAGCAATTCCGAACTCTGCAGCCACATTTGTCACACTGCGGCCTTCCTCCAACTTCCCAATGATTCGACCTCGGGTAAAGTATCCAGATGTCGTCTAACAGATTGATTATTCGCCATTTCTCGCTGAGGCAGCAACTCGGTGTGATCTTAACTGCTATCCGGCGTGCAATCTTTTTGCCAGAAATACTGATCTTACACCGACAACATGCTTTATACTACTCAGACACTCCCCCATTACGTCTACCTGCATATCTGCGCATGTGCTACCGTACATCCCTTTACTTAATCTCCTGATTGGTCTTTCTGTCCGCTCTGCCTCTTCGTTCAGCTGATATGCTAATTTTTCGACTTCGTCCTTAATTTTTGCACACCAGTGTAGATTATTCTTAAGGATCTGACTATCTCTTCCTTCACTCTAATCAAAACTCATTTCTGAAGAGCTTCAATTCTAATCCCTAGATATATATTTTCGACGTCTAAAATTTGAACATTGTTAGCTGGATTCATCTTTTTAGCTGGTCTTAGTAACATAATTTTCATATTTCATAACAATTTTGTTTTACTTGTGTCTGCTGAAATTAGAAGATGACGGTAATATTTGACCAAAAGTAATAATCTAAAGGTAATATTTTTAGAAAAACAAAATCTCTCTCGGTCAAGGGATTTTGTAGCACAGTTAAAAGTGATTTGTCTTGTTAAATACGATCTTTTATTGAACTAATGGGGTGTAAATTTTTATGCTAAATCTCTTTTGCTATGTTTATTGTTATTACTCGGTAGAAAAAAGGACTAGATTTGATAATACATATTAGACCACTAAAAATTTATAAAATCACCTGGATACAGTACGAAAATACTAAAGTGGGCACCGTAATCAGACGAATTACGTGCAGAAAGGAAGTAAAGCTGCTATGAAATCAATCAATCAATCAATACAGCTTATGCTGGAGTGTCGCAGTGGATACACAACGTATCAGGCTCAATGATAGATATGCCGCAAGGGCGAAAGTACAAGAACAAGACATGGTAGGAGGATTTTGGGTCTTAGCTGTGAAATTCTCGCGGAGTTCAGCTTTATACTGCATCGTGGAAAAGTATTGTTAAGATGAGAAGTTCTAGGAAAAAATAAAAATGCTAGATCTCAATCAAAGAACATAGTATGTCTGAATTCAAGGACAAAGAACGTCTATCTAAAGAAGTAAAGGCTCCATAGACGTAATGTAAACAAGTTTGTCTCCTACGCCGTTAGAAAGAAGAAGGAAAATTTGCCAAGGGATTTGGCGACGGAACCTGTTGGCGAGAATTCCCTTGTGGTGATGGCGATAAGGAGCGCGCCTTGCGCCCTCCGATAAGTTTGGCAACCCTAGAGGAGAAGTTTCTTACGAGTAGCGAGCACAGCGAAACAGGCAGGCTGTCGGGCAGTGTGCGCGAGTTCCTAAATAAAGTTAATTTTTATTGTGCACTATGTCTAGTTAATATTTATATTAATGCAGTAAGAACACGATCTGTGATATGGAATTGCGAGCATTGGTGGTAAAACATACAGGTAACAACATGATAGGAATCACCATAATGGTGACCTTGAACTGTGCTAAATCAGGCCGTATGAACAGTTCTCAAGCACTTTCGGTTTTGACTACAAGGCCATCACTCAAGATCTCCAAACCAGAAGTAATGGATTATACCGTTTTTCGTCCTCCGGAATCACAGATGAGTAGTAATTATAGATCATTTTATAATTCTGTTTCCTACTTATCATTTAATTTCATTTTCTTTAGTAAATTTTTGCTTTTAATTTTTGGCTTAAAAACCTTGCACAATGTCTGATGTTTCATGCCGTCCAAATTGCGGTTTATAACCAATCAGACCCATCTTTATGGTTTATTATGTGTGAAAGTACTTTTGCTCTTGCCACCCCCAAACCTATCACAGAATCCATTACTAAATATAATTATGTAGTTTCTCATCTTCCTCCAGATATCGCATCACTAGTACGGGATTTACTTATGAAACCAGACCCTATTGATCCATATGCAAAGCTTAAAACTGAGTTAATAAATCGTTCAGGAGAATCTTCTCAGCAAGAAATTCGCCAATTATTATCGGAGAAGAATTAGGTTCTCGAAAACCTTCCGATTTGCTTAGAAAATATGAAACGTCGAGCAGAATCTTTAAATGTTCCTGATAACTTAATGTTAGAATTATTCCTTCAACGTTTGTCTTCGACTGTTCAGTCTATTTTGGCAGCGGTTTCCAATTTAACTGTAGATAAAGCTGCAGGAGAAATTGCCGACATAATTTTAGAAGTAAATCCAACCCCAGGGACTTGTGCCGTTCTCGCACAGTCGATCAGTCTCTTGAGGATAAATTATTTAAACAAATAGAAAAATTAAACAACGTATTGATCGCATTTCTCTTTCTCGTGGTCGCTCGCCAAATCGCGGAGATCGCAATAAGGAAAAGAAGCATTCCAAAAGGGAGAGATATTCTGTTTGCTGGTATCATAGACGTTTGGGAAAAAGTGTAGAGATGACAATGTACAAAACCTTGTTCACGGCAGGGAAACAAACCAGCAAAGAATAGAGGCGACTTATTCTTTGCCTCAAGTTTCACGTCGCTGTTCGTTCGTGACCGTAGAAACAAACCTTTCATTCTTGGTCGATACCGGCTCTGACGTGTCCTTACTTCCAGCAAATAATTCTCAAAACGAATTCGTCCCAACAAACACTTTTCGCTGCTAATTCTTCTACTATTCATGTTTATGGTCAAAAAAACACTTTCTTTGGATTTCAAATTAAGACGACAGTTTACATGGACTTTTCTTATAACAAATGTTAGTACACCCATTCTTGGAGCAGATTTTTCCATTCTTTGAATTGGTGCCTGATCTCAGAAACAAATGTCTCAAAGATTTTAAAAACGCATTTTAAAACCGTCGGTTGCGTGAAAAATGCAAGCATTTATTCAGTAAAAAACTGTATTTAGTGATACACCATATCACAAAATTTTAAAAGAATTTCCTTCAGTTACTAGATTACCAGATCCTAACCAACCTTTAAACATAACACCGTTCATTATATCAAACTAAAGGTCCACCTGTGGTTGCAAAACCTCGTCGGTTAGCTCCAGATCGCTTAAAAATAGCAAAACAAGAATTTCAAACTATGATGCAATTGGGGCATTTGAGACCTTCGAGCAGCAATTATGCATCCCCACTTCACATGGTTCCAAAAAAGGGAAGTCTGGAATGGAGACCTGTAGGAGATTATCGAGCATTGAACGCTCAAACAATAAAAGACAAATACCCTATTCCATGCTTAGCCGATTTTACTGCTGCATTGCACGGTACTAAAATTTTTAGTCACCGGAAATCTCCATACCCTCCTCTCTGGGATGTACTGGACCTGGTCGAGATTTTCCTCCTCCGTCACGTGTACAGGAAATTGAGGAACGCGGATTAAGATGAATAAGAAAATTAGGTAAAGTTTCACTTTCACTGGCTTTTGATTTCGCATTATCCATATCGCAGTTTGATGTCTCATTTTATATCTGTCAATATGGAGGGAAAAAAATGAAGTCACACAGTTTTAAACTCTTGATAAACGTGACCGACGAAACCTGTTCGAACTTCGACATCAGCTTCGAGCTTTTTGGCGACAGATATTTTACGCATGCGCAGCTGTTTCTCTTTTCGTTCGAGTTCATCATACTTCGTCCAGCCCTCCTTTATGCAGCTCCGATCTAGGGACATACAGCTAAAACCAATATCAAACATTTACAAATTCTGCAAAATAAAACTGTACGAGAAATTATCAATGCTCCTTGGTATATTCCAAACATCTACATTCACAGAGACCTTCAAATCGAACTTATTCAAGAGTATATTAAACGATTAGCGGTACAAACCCATAGTAATAGCCTTATTAGTACTCTCAGACACTCCCCGCAACCCGGTGAAAAACATCGGTACCCATGTGAACATCCTACCCACATAAGAATTACAACCTTATTTGACTCATTCACGCATAACTGACTCTGCGGTCTGTCGCCCGCTGCTACATCTTGTAACGACACTGAACTTACCCACCCCCTTTTCGCCGCTGCTAGCGCGGACCTGACTCTCTTTTTCCGCCTCCCACCCCTCCTACCACACTACTCCTTCTTCCAGATTCTTATTAGAAGTCGAGTAAAAAGATGTTTCTACATCTTTGACACTCAAAAATAAAATACGATTCTGTGTAAGAAAGCCACTCCTGCTGCTGCGAAGCTTTCCTTCTTAAGAATACAAGTCCAAGGACTCCTTGGATCCATATCCTACTTCCTTACGTCACAGTTTTTTGTTCATTTTCTAAAACGTGTTGCCAGATTTCCTTGTGCTTGCCATTCACAGAAGAACAAATAGGAAATTGAGATCTGAGTACTTTTTTGGTACTTGAATTTTACAATAAAAATCTTCAATATAAAACTGCTGTATATTTTACATTCTTTTCTAATAAATTCCAGTTGCGCAAAAATCTAGGCCTTTTTTGGACGACCAAAAATTAGTCTTCGATAACGATATTTCATTGATATCGATAACGACAACCGCCAACTTCTTAGTTTGTGTTGCGTTCGTAATTAAATTAGTAGTTCGTTCATATTCTTTTGTTTTTATAAGAATTAAATTATATTTTGTGCAAGAAAAAATGGTACATGCGATTTTGGAAAAAGCCAGCAAACGTGTCAATGGTTCTATGTTGTCTGAATATATAGGACAGCCCGTTTGTTTGCTAGGAGAAGTGATTCAGGTATTGTTAGTAGAGTCCTTTTGTTGTAATGCTTTGCTACTTAAAATAAAACCGTTCTTGATTAATTCGTAATTTTAAATTGAGTGGAGAATAAATAAGTTTTAATGAATCCAGATTTTTAATTTTCAGATTAAAATTGAGCGCTGTTAATTCGTTAAAAATAGTTTGTTTTCAGAATTGTTTCGGAAGTTATAATTTGAAAATCGCCTTGCCTTGTTCCATACATGTTAAAACAAGTGCACTCCAATGCAGCTCTTTAACCTTTATTAAATGTTAATAGCAGAAGATATTTTATTATGCTTTTTTTTCGATAATCGCACACTGTTTGTTTTTTTAAAAAGGTATGGGCCTGAATAGAGTCGGAAACGATTTTCACATTAATTTAGATGCCGAAATCTGTTACATTTTTATGAAAAATTCCGGTAATTAAAAATTTATGATTCTATGGTTTTGTTTGTTTAATTCAGTATGACTGCATAACGGCAATTATGATATCTATTATGAATTTTTAACTTGCTGTATTTCCAAAAAAAGTTGTCACTCTGCTATTTTTGTATGAAATACTATCTTTTTTCTGTGTAAAGTGAACATTCACTGGTTTCCTGTAGAAAGATACATCTGTCTATATATATTATTCACACATTACTCGATTTTTATTTGTGAAGTCGTAGAAATGTCAGAATAAAGCAGGAACTCGACAAATTTTGAAAGGGTTATAATGTGTTCCTATTTCTAATACAGTACAAAGTCTTTAATCCGGACCTCAAAAGCTACAAACTTTCTGCTCATGCGTAGCATTTACACATGCGTATAATACATTTATGCATGTTTAATGTATAACGGGCGGTATAACCTAGGCTAAAATTATCTAATTATCTATTTCAGTTAATGTTGCAGATTGCGTTGTTCCTTAATCTTCTAATTGGATCCGGCTTATTATTTTTTGCAGACTGTTAGAGCAATTTTATAAAAAGTAAGCTTGAACTTTCGATTATGTCAAAGAGAGTTTCCATTTTCTGGAGCTGCCAAAGGATCTAAAAGTGAAAGCATGTTTTGATGCCCATCAAACAAAAAGAGGAATTGCTGCAAAAAATGGATAAAGGCATGAAGAAAGTGACAGAGAGGTTAGTGAAAACAAAAAAATTTCGATTGACAAGTCAGTCAGTATTCTCAGCACAGCAATTACAGGACTTGAAAAGCAGAACTTTGTAACTTAACAAGAAATTATGTCTGTGTATAGAATTAAAGAGAAATTATTAGCACAAGAAATGAAACAAATTAAACAACTTACATTGAAAGAAATGTTTAATAAAGTAAACAAATAAATATTAACCATTTTCTTTTGTAAATTTTGATACCCTTTAGGTCATAATTGCTCTTTATTTCATAAATTACGGTTTCATATTTTTAATTGCATAATTTCTGCATGTCATCTTACCAGATTCAAATTGATAATCTATAATCCAGAAAAACCCCTAATGCGGAATTGCCGTAGTCCCGACGAGTCCAGATTACAGACTTTGTACTGTATAAAATTTCTTTTTGAACTTTGTATGCATATCAAAGAGATTTCCTGTAAATATCAATGTGTTGTCAGTCTCAGTGTTCTCTATCCAGTAGTGGTACATGATTGTCTCAAATCATGATCCTAAATTTTACATTTAGCAAAACAGGTCTATTTTAGATTTAAAAAAAAAAAAAAAAAATTAGACTGAATTAGATTTTCTAGATCAGCATTGATCAACCTTTTATGGCCCACAAACCTGCAAAATTTGTGAGCACATTCCAATGTTGCCAGACTTCAGAGATAAAATTATGGATTTTAAATCTTAAAATGATGGCATTAATGTAAAAATTACTGCACAAAATTTTATTGTTTTGAATAAGAAAATTTTTTTAACGTGGAGAGATAAAAATCTGTGAGAATTGATCAAATTTTTCCATAAACCGCTTGCAGTCTGCCGGTCTAGTGATTGGGAATTTCTGTTCTAGATAATAATCATTTAATTTAATCAAGATTTAGATTGCTCTTACCATCTCTGAGTTTGGATATCTATTAAGTAATGCAAAAATTGCCTTTGATACTTCTAAATATGAGATTTTATTCAACTTAATAACCAATCTATTTCACCTCATTCTTCAGTTAGAGTAGAAAGAATCTCTTCCCAAGTAAAACATATGTAAAAAAAAAAAAAAAAAAAAAAAAAAAAAAATGCCAGCTTAAACCAAGAACTGTGAAAGATCGACTGATGGCACAGTGGCCAATAAATAGATCAAAATTGCTATATAATGGTTTCCAAAGGTCAAAATTGCTATACAGGGGTTTCCAGAAGTTAAGCAATAAACAGAAAATTGATGATAAGTTAAGTATGTAAGAAAATTGAATTAAATTTGGTGATAATATTTATTGTACTTGTTTATTAAAAATACCAGAAAATGTTACACAGAAGGTTTACATTATGTAATGCCTATAGAATATAAAATGTCCTAAATTCATACATACAGATTAAATTCAAAACAATTTCTCAGTAGTGAATGTTATGATCAGCCCAAACCACAATACAAGCCTCACAGTGATATCTTGTGCTTTTTATGATGTCAATGAACTGCATGGGTATCAATGATCATTGATCATGTAAAACAGTTCTTAGCCCATCTAGGGTTTGGGGAAGGTGTTTTAGCCTCCCCAAAACACCTCCCAAGAGCATCCTACACATGCTGAATGAGATTAAGGTTAGGATCAGGTACTGGCCATTCCATTTGGACTATAGTTTTGTATTCAAAAAATTGATGCATGAGGCGAGCAGTGTGAGAGTGGGCATTATCTGCTTGCAAAATGAAGGTATTGTTATAACGCCAGTATATGGACAAATAGTAGGATCCAGAATGTCATGTCTGTACCTCTTAGCATTGAAAACCTCCTTGTGACAACAAATACAGGTCTGACTGAAGTTTTTACTTTTAAATTATCTCTACATATACCGTATTTGACGGCATATAAGACGCACCCTTATTTAGAAGGCCACACACAAGGAAAAAAAGTTTCAATAGTCCGACCACAATAACTTAAATTGTGGTTTCTTTTAGTTCTCACGTTTCGTAAAAGCCAAATAAACAATCATTGAATGCAATTACCAAACATATTTTTATTAAGGAAAATTAACAAACAGCAAGCTATTTTGAACATGATATGTAAATTTCAATAATGAATAAGTGAATGAACGGCAAGCAATCAAACATAATACAAAATAAAGCAGAAAGAACAAAAAACACAGATTCAAGTAAAACGTGCCTATCATGAAATTAGACTTTAATCACTTTCAAAAACATAAAAATCCTTTTCACTATCACCATCATCCAAAACGAGAATATCGTCATCACTACTGTTTTCCTCATTGCTAGTATCACCTTCTTCGAATAATGCATCATCTTCTGTTCTGTCAAGAGCATTACTGATTCCGCACTTCTTAAAGGACTTAACAATTACTTCAGCCTTTACGTCCCCCCCAAGATCTTTTTACCCACTCGCACACTTGTGAAATAGAAGGCCGCTTTATTCTACCGAGGGCGTGATGTAGCTCTCCTATCCACTTGTTCCATCGTTCCCGCACTTTTTCCTTAAATGGCTTATTCACCGATACATCTAAAGGCTGCGATTGGCCAGTCAGTCCACCAGGAATGACAGCTATCTGCATTTTTAATTCTCTCACTTTATTCTTTATGGTTTCAGTTTTATGGGCGCTAAACTGATCCAAAACCAAAAGAGAGGGTTTTCTTAGTCCACTATGTCGCCTCGCCCATACGTTCTGTAACCACAGTTTCATTCCAGCTTCGTCCATCCAGCCTTTTGGATGAACATGAACAATTACACCCGTTGGAAGTTTTTCTTTTGAATATGAAAAATGGCAGTAGTTTCGTTTAATCAGCACAACATGTTAGAACTATCGTATATCAGGATTTTTGATGACCTGTGGTTTTTATGGTTATTGATTTAGACCCTTTAATACTCACAGTCTTGTTGGATGGTACATCAAATGTGAGTGGAATTTCATCCATATTTCCTATTTGACCGAGCTCAAAAGAAGTTTTCTTGCGTGCATTTATAACAAACCTATAAAATGCTAATATGTTTTCTTCATAATCTGCTGGCATTTTCTGTGCAATAGTTGTTTTTGTGTGCATTGATAAGCCTTGTTTTTTCAAGAACCTGTAGCATCAGCCCTCAGACCCTGAAAAGTTCTGATTCCTTTTTTTTTTTTTTTTTTTTCTTTTTGCAAATCCTTTGGCATCATTGATTATCATTTTAGTTGAAACACTTATCCCAGATTTCCTCTTATCTATCACCCACATTTTTATGGCATTTTCAAGTTCAGGCCAAGATGAAGCTGGGCATCGAAGGTTATGTTTTTGTTTTTCAGCAGTCTTCAGTTGATCTTCCTGCAGTTGGCAAGTACATATCATTTTTTTGGTAGGTGGTGGACCGAAATGCCTTGCTGCTGCTCTGTTTCCATGCACTTTAGCGTAGTTTAACACTTTTAGTTTATACTGAATTGTATAGCTTAATCTCTTGTTTCCTGTAGTCATATTTTCCAGGGTATTTTTTTTAAACAAATAGTTTTAAGCACCGATACCGACACATTTATACAGAGTAGCACCGATACCGACACATGTGTCGTCTGAGTCGAAGAAAGTCTATGTAAAGAAGGAAAGGCTCCATAGACGTAATGTGACTGTCGAACCTGTTCGAACTTCGACATCAGCTGACTGATCTTAGACCGACTGATCTTTAGAATATGGTAACTGGTAGTTTGGCTTTGTTGCTTTTTGGTGACAGATATTTCATGCATGCGCAAAATAATTATGGCAGATGTAGAAAAAGTTATGTGTGTCTAGATCTTTATCCGGATAAAAATAGCATTCAGTATTGAAAGTTAACCTGTGTCCTTCACCTATAAGACGCATGTAACTTTTTTGAGACCAAATATAAGAAAAAAAGTGCGTCTTATATGCCATCAAATACAGTAATAAAAGAGTTTGTGTGTGTGTCTTTCATTCGCGCTGTGCGTAAGCTAATAGACCCACGACTACGAAATTTGGTACATAGGTCCGGTCGGGCTGATCTTTAGAATATGGTAACTGGTAGTTTGGTGACATTTTGGAGGCGATAAAGGTTACTACCTGGGACTTTGGTAATAATGTGAGCAGTAAGTACTCAGTTCCGGTTACACATCATTTTGTGTGAGGGAAATAAGAGATCATGGGATATGTCGTGATATTAATGGACGGATTACGGTTCTTTAATCGGAAAAGGGAAAAAATCTGGAAATTTTGTATTTGGCTTTATTCTGTGTTGTGTGAAACAGTGTTCGTTAATTTTTGGATCCCATGGCCCTAACTAAAGTGAATTCGAAATGGGTATTTAGTGGGATTGAAAGGGGTAGTAATAAGTGTTTCTTTAAGGTTGTGCGAGATAGAAGTAAAGATGTTTTATTAAGTTATTTATTTTACCTGGTACCTTGCTGTAAACTATAAGTATGATTTTAAAGATCCTGAAACAGGCGCACATACGCTTGCTTTTTATTTAGCAGATGAAATAAGAAAAGTCACGTAATCAAGATTCTGAAGAAGATTAGGTAAGTTAGTATTTTTAATTATTTGAGGATATTATTTTTATGCATTGTTCTAAATGTAAGGTGGAAGTAAAGTAATTTTATGTTTGTAGGAATTTGGTATACGTTTTAGTTGAAGTAAACGTGCATGGAAATAATTTAAATATTTGACACTAAGTACTTGTAATGTTTGCGGTATGAATTCGTTGGTGACGTTTATAATATAATAGATAATTTAGAGGTAAAAGTTTTTGGATATTTATTTATTTTATACGTGGTAATGTTCATATTTGGAAAGGGTATATACTTTTTCGTTATTAGGTAATTTCATATATGTTCTTTCTAACGGGTTTAAAGATTCAAAAAATTGTCATGTATTTTCGTGAAATTTTTCTAATTTATGAGAAAAAAGCAGTGTACATGGATATAGTGAAGAGCCATTTTTGTGTAATTCTGGGATGTTTTTTTAAGTAAAAGTAAGTCGACGTGTGCATGGTTTATGTGTATGTGTTATTTTGAAAAACGCGTAAGGAGTATGGTATTGTGCACTTTTTCCCAATTTTGCAGTGAATATTTGTCATGATTAAGCAGTTTTATTAGATAAAATTTCTAGCATAAGTGTAATTCGGCTAGTAGATTGTTGGAAGAAGTGTTCAATAGATAAAAAGAAAAGAAACATGTCTTTACTTCGTGAAGACAAAATGGCAGCGGGAAAAAAAAATAGAGGGTTGCTGTAGGAGAGTTGGTCGCCAAATTTTCGCCAAAAAATTGCCAAGTTACCATAATGTAAAGATCAACCATAGGTCTATCTAGACAAGAGCCAGTGCACCTCGAAGCGATTTTTTCAAAATTCAAATTAGAATTTGTTTTATTTTATGTTTTGTGACGAAATCGCGTCATTTTGAGACATAATGGGCTATAGGAAAGCTAATTTTACTCTACACACTCCATTTTCACATCGTCATGAAAGATAGGCACTTAGCTATTTTACAAACTTAAAATAAATTTTGTGTTTCAATAAATCGATTAAATACAAATTTATTTAACAAAGGGAGCTTACACCTTTTCAACGGGATTATTTCTAAAAAAGTTGATTTTTAAAAATGTACGCTTTATTTTTCTTTGATTTTTGGACACGTTAAACTTTCATCTTTGCGACTGCTTTTACAAAAAGAATTTTGGAAAAATGATAATATTTTGTATGTAAAAAAATTTTTTTTAATGAAGCTTCCAAATATACTTCTCACATCTTTAAAAATGTGATTTTGGCAACAATTTTCCTGTCATGTTGTTGATAGATTTTTGATGAAATTGCATCATTTTGAATAGTTTCATTCTTTTAGAAATATGGGTTTGGCAACAATTTTTAATGGTGTTTCTTATGTCACTGTTTTTAAGAGATTGGCATATTTCATTTTTATATATATATATAATACATTTTTATTATTATTTTTTATAAAGTTGTTCTGCAGAGTAAAATTCTGCGCAGAATTTTATGTTTTTTGAGTTGCTTTCATGTTATTTATTGCTCATTTCACTGTTTTTAAGATATTGAAAAGCTTTGAGTGATTTTTTTTTTTTTTTTTTAGGAAACAAAGTTCTTAACCTCCTTTTATACTATTTGAGTTCTTAAGATTTTGCAAAGGGAAGTTAGTTAATTTATTTATTAGGATAACTAACATTTGTATTAAGGGATATTGCTTATTTCATTGTAATTTTGTTATACGTAATAACTTTTTTTATGAAGTTGTTCTGCAGAATAAAATTCTACGCAGTTTTTAAATTTAATGTTTGGTGTTCCCTTCAGCCATTTTTCCGGTACATTTAAAACCCAGATTAAGGCTGGCAGCGAAGCTGCTAGTTAAGTAATATAATAATTTAAATCAATAAACTGGAAAAGCCATTTAATTTTGCGACATTTTACAGCAAGATTAGAATGAGGATTTAATTTAAAAATTTATCTCATTAAAAAACTTGCCTTTGGATGAAAAGATATAATTTGTGTAATAGCATATACAGTTAAACCTTTCTAAAATGACTAGCCATGAGTCCAGTTAATTTTGGTTTTCTCTGGTTGTGGTGCTAATGTATAAATTCTCTAAAAATATTGATCACTTTCAAAAATATCATCTTGAACTTCAGAAGTTCTTGACTTCAGAAGGTTCATCGTATTGAGTTTGCGTTAAATAAGAGTAGGAAGTTACATTATTTGGATATTGCCACACACATAATGGCTGTATATCTAAAGGGAGGAATGCCTTCATGGAGAACTTTCTAAAAAAAAAAGACTTGTATTTACATTACAAGTCTGTGAGAAACACTCATGCAACCAGATAAACAAGCTGGCTGTTTAAGTGTTTTGCGTGTCTTGTTTGCTTGGTTTTGAACAAGTAAAACTTTCTTCTTTCAGTAATCAATGTTGAAAGATTAAATAAGTATTAAATAACAAGAAGACATTGTTTAAAAGTTATGATTTTTCAGTTATTATTAATGGTAGGGTAATAAATGTTTTCACCATTTAAAAGTATTAGAATTTACTTATACATTTTGTTATTACAGTCAAAAGTCATTAATTCGGACACCCATAATCCGGAATGATCTATAATCCGGACCTCAAAGCTGCAAACTTTCTGCGCATGCGTCGCTTTGACGCACGCGCATAGGCGTTTACGCGTGCGCGTAAGACCTTTACGGCTGCAAATATATGTGTGCGCATGCGCGTTTAATGTATAACGGACGGTAAAAGGTAAGCTAAAATTATCTAATTCAGTTAATGTTGCAGATTGCGTTGTTCCTTAATCTTCGAATTGGATCCGGCTTATTATTTTTTGCAGATTGTTAGAGCAATTTTATAAAAGTAAGCTTGAACTTTCGATTATGTCAAATAGAATTCCGATATATATTTACTAATATGTAAAGGATTTACAAAGCGAAAGTATGTTTCGAAATCCGAAATCTGTTTATCAATTTCACGCTGCTCTGCGGCGGGGGGAGGGAGGGAGGGAAACGCTGTGACGCGTAATGAATTGGAAGTTGATCTGTCAGCACTATCCTTATCTTCACAGCAGATGTTTTATTTTATTTGGCTTATAATTCCTTACTAAATGTAGTATTTCATGTCGATGTACTCTGTCTTTGATATGATTTAAAGCAGTTATAGGACTTGAACAGCGGAACTTTGTAACTAAACAAGAAATTATGTCCGTTTAATAGAATTAAAGAGAAAGTATTATCACATGAAAGGAAGCAACTTACATTGAAAGAAATGTTTAATAAAGTAAACAAATAAATATTAAGCTTTTTTTTTGTAAATTTTAATACCCTTTAGATCATAATTGTTCTCTATTTCATAAATTACGGTTTCATATTTTAAATTTTGTAATTTCTGCATGTCATCTTACCAGATTTAAACTGATGGTCTATAATCCGGAATCGCCGAAGTCCCGACGAGTGCGGATTAACGACTTTTGACTGTATTTGGTCCTGAAAATTTATAGTAATTTATTTATTATAATCTAGTTGTTTGGAATCCCAATTTCCCCTCATCTGGGTTTTTGTATGGAGAAAGCTGTGAATGAACAGGAGAATCTCCTGAATGGAAAATAGGTTTAGAATTATTTAAATCTACTTTGCAATGTCATAATTCCCCAATCATCAGTCAGTTTATAGGCAGTGAAATCTGTAGTTTAGTTAAATCCAGGAAATGGCGCTCTCAGTAATTAAGAAAATGATGAAGAATTTCTTGAGAATGAAAGGATTTAACTATTTAGTAAGAATTATCAATATGACAATTACAGGACTTAAAAGTATAGAACTGTTTAACTAAACAGGAAGTTATCTCTCTATATAAAAATTAATGCAAAATTTTTTTTTGAAATTTAACTTCCTAAAATCTTATGTTAAAAGAAATGTTTAATAACACAAACATTAACTTCTTGTTTTTTTTTTTTTTTTTTTTTTTGTAAATGTTGGATCTCTGAAAATCACAAGGCTTCATTGTTTCACAAATGACCATTTTATATTTTTAATTTTGTAATTTCTCAAAGTATTAGCTCTTGCTGTGATAACATTAAGTGATGAAAATTTAATAATTCTGTTTCAAGTATATATTTTATTTTCCATTTTGTAAAGTTGTTAACTTGGTTTGAATTAATCTTTTATGTTTTTAATAATTGCTCATGTATAAATTTAGACTATTTTTTAAAAATTAAATTTATTAACGATACCTGAAAAAAGTAATTTTTTTAAATTTTAGGTGGAGCCAAATGGTAAAGGTTTTAAAGTGAAAGCAAGTGATAACCAGCTGGTTTGTGTTCAAGGATCAGCACCTGTAAGTTGGATAATATTGTATTGCTAAAGTGATTGTATTAAAATGAGGGCCCTTAAATTAAATGATATTGAACTGTTTGAATCAGGTCTGAGCCCTGAGAGAGTTCATTTTTTTACTTGTCATGTTGATGCTTTTAAAAGAATGTGGACAGAAGAAGGCTTAACATATTGGCTGAGATTTTTGATGACATTTAAATCCACACTGGAGAATAATGTTGTCAAACGTCCAGAGTGTTGTATAGTTCCCTTTAGAATTGGAGCTGTTTTATTAAATTTTGTTTACATATCTATTCATCAAAAATTCATAGAAGGAAAATGTAATTCTGCAAATCAATTAATAAAACATATCTTTACTCTTGCAAGATTTTTCTCTAATTTAGCAGATTCAAATTCTGTTCACCGGAATCCTTTTAATACAAAAGATAGTCGTGAGGCATTTCGAAACCTTTTAGGTAAACCTGATTTTTTAGAAGATTATCCTATGTCAATGGTGGCTTTTGCCTGCACTGCTTATTTTGAATTTGCTGGTGCAATCTGCTCTCTCTTGAAAAGATGGATTTCTGAACCTGACCTGACCGAAGCAGAATTGAAAAAAGTTGACATTTCAAATTATTACTGGATGCCTTTTGAAGAGTGGGAAGAGAAGTCGTATAGTGCATCATGTTTTGAGAAATATGTATCAGATTACTGGGGAGATGATTTACCAAGAATGTTATTAACAACTAATGTTAATAATACATTTAATTCTCACATAGAAAAAGGAAATTGCTGCAGTCTTTATAAGAAAAATGTGAATATTTTTGATATTTTTAAAACACAGTGTCAATTTTTTCATGCTGAAAAAAAATGTATTATTCCTGTTAAGATCATTGTTCCATCAGTTGTGCAGTGTGATGAACATACTGATAATTGTTACATTAAAATAAAGCATGATTCTTCTTGTTCAGAACCATTTATATGTAATGGTAAGAAACCTTGTGTATTAGTATGTGAGTCGTATAAAGCTGAAAAGTTAAAAAACCATGAAATAAAAAATATGGGCTGGAAAACATTTCATGCTGACACTTTTACATGTAAACAAAAAAATAAACGGAATGTTTGTACTCTTGCCGAAAATTTTGACAGGAGCATTGAAACATATCTTCTAAAAGAAAATGAAGAACATTTTCAATCATCTGTAGATCCAAAAAAGCTCTCTTTATATGCTAAATTATTCATAGAAAAAGAATTAGGTTGCTGTACCTTACCATTCCTAGATCCGGAGTGTCTGAATTATTTTGAACAAGTTCAACGAAAAATAGATTATAAAAAGAAATTACAGAAGAAATTAGCTAAGAAACATTTGCAGATTAATAACAAATATGAAACAGAATGTACAGCAGATTCTACAGAGTTACTTGATATCTGTAAGAAGGCTCAAGAGTTGTTACTGCTGGATTTAGTTATTGATAAATATTATTCAGTTTTGGATTCCTCTAAATGTTTCAATGAAGGTCAGGAAGAAAATGACACTTTGTGTACTGTGACTGATGCAATGAACACAATTGCACTTGGTACACATGATGTAGTTTATGGTCGAGTAGTACTACCATTGAAAAAATTTCACTCTCAGAAATGTCAAACTGAATATTCTGAATTGAGCCAAGAAATTTGTAATGGTAAAATGCATCATTCAAGAGAAAGTTCAAAAAGGAGTAAATCAGCTAAGAAATTAAAATCTGGTAACAAAGTAATTAATGGTGAGAATTTACAGTCAAAAGAAGGTAATATAGTTGCTTCTAATATTTGTGAACAAGAGAAAAATATACATATGGTTTCTGAAACCGAATTGAAAAATGATTTTCAAAAGGATAAGTCAAGTGAAGAATTAGAGTCTGAAAATAAAGTTACTGCTGATATAGGTTTAGAAATAAAAGAAAAAAGTTTTTGTGATTCTAAATGCAAGGCAAATACCCATGTTGATTCTTGTACAGAACTTCTAATTTCTAGTGAAAAAGCAATTACCTCTGTAGATAACAATGTAGATGAGAAATCTGATTCATTTAAATCTGAATGTGATTCACAATTACTTATGAGTGGAAGTTCCAGTATAGATATGGTAGAGGATGTATCAAGACATAATGAATCTACAGTTGTTGAATTAAATGGAGAAATATGTGACAGTGAAAACATTGTTCAAAGTTTTAATAAATCTCACCATTCAGAATCTGTTCAGTTAAATTCTTATAGCAGTTGTGATGAAATATTATTTGAAAACCCGGAAAGTGATCACAGTAGGAATGCTGATGTATCCAGCCAAGATGAAAAACTGGTTGACAAATTTTTTGCACTCATTCTCAATGGAAACCGGACTAGTTCCCCCATATGTGATCCAGTTAGCGAAGTGGTGAAAGACAAAGCAGTGTCTGACTGTTCAGGGGATAAGAGGATAAAATTTAAAACTTGTGCATATTGTGGAGAAAAGGAAGTTAAATGTAAAACTTTTAAAAGATGCTCTAGGTGTAAAGTTGAGAATTTTAAACAACAGCGTTATTATTGTTCTCGTGATTGTCAGGTCAGTGATTGGGAAGAATCTCACCGAGATGAACATTCAAAGCAGACCTAGAATTCCGTAATTGAATGTTAGAGCAAGAAGTGTCATAATTTTTTAATATTTTCTATACCTTTTGAAAAATTTTTGCAGTTATGTCTTATATGTGATTTATTGCATAAGTTTTATAATTAATATAAATCAAAATATGCTATTTTTCAATTATTTATGACTTAAAGAGGTTAGAAGATGTCTATGTAGATAATTTATTCAATTACAAAATGTAAATTTAGAAACCCGCCTTTGCCCTTTTCATAAAGGTTTGACTATAATAGTAGATTTTACAAATTGCTAAAGAAATTCAGATTGAAATATTTTCTCCCCCCTTTCCTTTTTTTGGTGTTGGAATTTTGTTTTTGTTTATAAATTTTAGAGGGTAGCAGAAATATTTTATTTTAATTAAAAAAAGGTAAAAGTAAAGTGCATAAGCCAATGACTGATTTAATTTTTACTAAACTGCCTCACTTAATTTATGATTATTATTTTAAAGCTATGTTTTGTTATATTTTTAAGTTCTATAAATTTTGTATAGCAGCAATATTAATTGTTAATATGTGTATTACAACAAGGAATAACCTGCTGTTTGAAGTATATCATTTAGATAACTTTGGAGCCATCAGATGTAGGAAACAACAACAGCAAAAAACCTGTTATTTTTCATAAGTAATTTAAAAATATTTTTTACAACTTTTTGTATGCAAATTTGAATTTTGTTGTGCTTCAAGTTCATGATATAGTCTTTATATTTCGAGTTACTTACAAAAGTTATGGGACACATAACTTTTGTAAATAAGTCAATGTAACAAAGTTAACTGTTATAAACAAGTGTTTATTTTATTTATAAAATGTTTAGTTTTTAAACACTTAAAAGAAAATAAATAAGCTAAAAATTGTTAGTATTGCACTTTGGAGTTTGTTAGAATATGCTGTGGTGAGAGTTATACATTTCATGATGATTTTAATTCATTTGCTAATAAAACATGCTTATAAGCTCCTGATAGTATCTGCTGTATTGGAGAATTAAAATTCTGCAAAGAGTTTCCACCCTTTAGGGAGGAAAAAAAAAGAGAGGTAGTTTGTGTGTTTCATCGATATTTCTATTATAATGTAATGAGCGATGATGGTGGGCAGTGTTAGAATATACAAATGTTGTTATGTGTTCTGTTTCTGTAAGTATTGATGGTAAGCATATACAAGTATCTCTAATTTCAAAATTTATTGAAACGTTGTGTAAAATAGTCTTGATGCTGTGACTAGAAAGAATTTCACAAAATAAAATCTGACTTTTTATGTTACTGTGATAAAGTAAAAATTTCAATTTTCTTTATATCATTAAAAAAAGAAAAGTTTAAAAAAAGTCTACATCTTTTAAAGTACTTCTTTATTTCCTTGATGAAATGTTTTATTTGTTGAATATACTTGAGTTTTGCAAATAAAATCACATTTGTAAATTGAAAAATTAAAATGCAATGAGTATATTAGTAATTGGGATTTTTAATTTACAGAATTTATTCATTTAAGCAGAATCTTTTATGACCTGTAGTGTGAAACTTTATCATACGATTTTGTATTTTTTTTTTTTTTAAGGAACTATATAACTGGAAAAATTTATCTGGGATCAGTATTTAAAGAAATGAATTCTGTGGCTGTCTTTTTCAAATAATAAATTGCCTATATTATACTATAGGTTTTTCAAATATTCTATAGTGACTGTATAAAATCTGCTATTTATTCGTTCTTGAAATATGATAGATAAATTGATAGCAATATTTTTACTGTTGTATGAGAATTTATCATAATTTGAGATCATTGTTTTCTGCATAATTCCTTGGTTTAATAAGAATTATGTAATTTAGTCTTAACTTTTGTAAAATATTTCTTATGAATTGCACATTGAGGATTAATGATAGGATTTTATGATGTTTTTGTGAAATAGGTACCTTTAAAAGTGTTTTTTTATCAAATTCAGTCCCTTAAAAAATCATGAACAAAATTAATAAGTTTTAATGTCTGTTCGATTAATACAACAGTTCTCAACTTTTTTTTTTTTTTGCTCCATGTATCCCTTTCACCATTGCTAGACAATGATTCCCCTCTTCCTTTCAACAACTTGAAAACTATAGAAAATGTTGATAAATACCAAAACTTGAATAAAAGTAGCATTTTATTTTCATGAACTAAAACTAAATACATAAGAGGTAAATAAAAGATTGATCACATCCTGCTGAAACTATGAAATTTCCCTCAAGGCAAGAAATTGTCTATGGTTGGGAACCCGATAGTACCGTAGATGTTAACTAGATTCAGGTTCAGTCTATACTGTAACAAGACTGGTATAATAATTGTAATTACTTGTGTGATTCTCTCCTTATCTCATAGGTAGTTTGTATATTGTTTCATCTAGTTGAAAGATTTACAACTCTGTGTGTTCTATTTCAACTTGCTTGATTTTAGAAAACAATAAAGCAGCATATGCAAGTGCATGTTAAAGTTAATTTAAGAAAAAGGGACAAAGATCTTGTCACTTAGGCAACACCAGACATAAATCTTAAGAAAATCTCAATTGTATTGAAGTGTCATATGTGGATTTTCCAAATATGCATAGTAGCAATACAATTAAAACACATAACTGTTTTGTATGACTGAATTAAAGTACTTTCAGTCATTCATACTTCACAGAAATCTCATGAAATCCCTCATTTATTCTTGGATACCTGTACAATATAAGTCTTTAAGCACTCATTTGTAATTTTGTAAAGTAAAATCTTTCATGATACTCGCATCTGAAAGCAACTGGTATTTCTGTGAATATAAACAAACATCAGTATTGAATATTACTGATAATGATTGTTCTGTAATGCAGCTGATTCACAGAAGCTTTGTATTGCAGAAATGTGAGTGGTCATTTTTAAGGCGATTTCATTGTATTTATAATTTAATGTAGAATTGTAATGTTTTTCAAGACTGTATTTGTAAAATAAATGAAAATATTTTAACCATTTTAGTTAATTTTTTAATATTACTAATAATGCTTAAGCAAAGGAAGACTGAAGAGAATGTTACAATCTTTAATAATCAAGAGTTTTTTACAGATACAATATCTTTGAAATAAATATTAATACCATTTATGTTTTAGCCAACATTTTAATACTTGAGTTTTAACTTTTTTGGTGATGTATAAAAAATAGTTTTTTTCCCTAGCCCAAACTTTAAAATCATATTTGCTTTAGTATAAATTTTAAATATGTACATCATGGAAAATACTCTAAATCTATACACCAAGTCAGAACATCTTAAGAAGCATTTTATCTAATTAGTTACTGCAGCACACTTTAATTATAGATTTCTGTTTTTCCTTTAATTCTGCAATCTTTAAACTCTTAATTCTTCATGTGAACATTAATAATAAAAAAAATAAAAAAAAGGTGTAATGGAAGAAAATTTCCCTAATGTAGCAGTAAAAGTAATTACGATTGTAAGCAGTGTGCTAGTTTTCACTTTTAAGTTGTGAATTGTTTAGCTCTCTTCGAGAGAATTCTAAACTTACCTATATGAAATTTATGCTCATTTTGGCAAATGATTTAAAAAGTACATCTTTACCTGCTTAGTTCAATGATTGAATGGGTACAACTGTTGAAGAACTGTATTCAAATCATGCTATTATTAATAAAAAATTACATAAATTTGTAATTTTAATGGTCATCGATTGTTGCATGTTGTTTAAAACAATATTTAATCAAAATAACATTAAGTATATAGTTGTTTCTCAACTTAAATAACCAAGATATCTAGCTATAGCCCAGTTTTTTTACATACTGGTTCAATAAATACTGTAGTTGCAAATTTTATTAAAGTAATTTTTCCCAGATTAATTTCAAAATATTCTTTAAAAATGATCCTTTGGAATTACAGTTCAAAGTCCGAAATCCGGACTCGTCGGGACATCGGTGATTCCGGATTTAGGACTTTTCCGTATATTAGATCATCAGTTTAAATGTAATATTTTTTATATTTTCTATATGCCATCTTGTAGATGGTATATAGAAAATATAAAATTAAAAATATTAAATCGTGATTTATGAAATATGTGTATGTAAAAAGTATGTATGATTTAAAGGGCAACACGCTACGAATTGGAAACAGTAAAATAAAATGTGTGAAGACCATTAAGTACTTAGGACTCACCATAGACCAGAAATTCAATTAGATACCACATCTTCAGGAAAAGAAGCTAACCACCCGCAAAATCGTAAAAGCATTAAGGGCGATGAAAGGATATCCTGATTCTATTTAAAGGGCAACACGCTACGAATTGGAAACAGTAAAATAAAATGTGTGAAGACCATTAAGTACTTAGGACTCACCATAGACCAGAAATTCAATTAGATACCACATCTTCAGGAAAAGAAGCTAACCACCGGCAAAATCATAAAAGCATTAAGGGCGATGAAAGGATATTCCTGGGGCCTTAATGATCGCGTTATGAAAATTCTATTAAAGACAGTAATTAATAAAATAATAACTTATAGAGCCGCTATCTGGGCCTTTCCCATGACAGCAAGAAAAATTTGAACTCAATTCAAAGACCTTTCTTGATCAATATTACCCGATCATTCTCAACAACCTCCACCAACGCACTACAAACAATAGCCACGGTGATGCCACTACCAATTCAAACAGAAATCAACACACTGTTGACAATAATCCTACAACTCAAGAAAACTTTGACGTACAATGGCATAATTTTCAATCCACAAGAATATGAAGAAAAGCCATCGAAATATAACAGACCGCTCTGAGTCTTCACAATCTCCATTGCAACCTCTACAAGCCACCTCCATCAACTGATTTTACTGCATACACGGATGGCTCAAAGATCGAAAATAAGGTAGAAAGTGGAGTCACAATAAAAACAAAAACAGGCCTCCACTCCGAATGGCTAGGTTACCTTCAGCCGCTAAACAGCGTATATCAAGCAGAGCTCATAGCCATACCTAACAGCATTATGCAACATAGGGACTTAAAAACAGATAGCATCCACTTAATCACCGACAGTCAGTTTTCCATACATACCATCAAACAACAACACAGATTCTCCAAAAGCCCGGCAATTTCAAGACATCATAAGCACAAGTAATAAGAAATTTGTCCTACCACATAATGCCTGTGAAGGCAATGAAAGGGGGGATTTTCTAGCAAAACAGGCAGCTCTAGAACAAACAGGATCTTATCCCATGAAAATCATATCCCATGGCCTAAATCAGCATTAAGGTAAAACTAAAACAAATGGCGAATCAAAAGTGGCATCGTCAATGGGAACAAAGACCACAAGAACGACGCACATTCGAACTGATACCCAAGGCTGATTGAAAATACCACCAATATCAACCTACTTCCTCACCCAGTACACAGTACATCTCGGGTCACAGTCCCTTCCCCAAGTATTTTTATGATCACAATATGGCTACGTCGGATAGATGCATATGCAGGGAATGCGGAGACCCTGAACATTACATGTTTCAGTGTCCGCTAACGTCAGCCCATCACATTCGCCATCCTACCGACACTGGAATAGAATTTAGAAGATTCATTATTAAGCACTGTAAAGTTTTCTAAAACATCAAAAATATTATTGATTTCTTATACCGCCAAGGACTGGACCTGTGTCATCCATAGCTTACAACCCCAAATAATCCTCTAAGTTCATAAAACGCAACAATAAGAATATCCACTCTCGCCCTCATACTATACCGGAGTGCCTTTAGAAAACACACTTAAATATATCCATTTATTGAGATAACCGTAACTTTTCTCATACTACGAACTATGAGTTACTTCATACTGTGCAATGTATGACAGATGCACCAGTACTACGTACTCAACACTATGTACCATGAAATGAATTCATAAACAGTATGCTGTATTATGAACTGCACTATGAATGAGAACTTAAACTGTGAATCGTATAACAAACAAGAAAAAAAAAAAAAAAAAAAAACCAAACAAACAACGAACCACATACTATAAACACTTCCGCCTCCCTCGTTTACAAAGCTCCAAACAGAAACACAAAAGAACTATGTATATACATCTGTAAATAACTTATTGTAATTATTATATCTATCCATCCAACTGCAAAGTACCTGTGTAAAGTATATCTGAGACAATATTGTCTGCAATGCAAATTATGCACCATTAATGTATAACTGTGTATTATGAATGCTGCTTGCTGCAATGTAAACTAATTCCCAAGCATGGTGTTAGCGTGCCCGGTCAGGGTACACTTCTATTGATGGTTAGTGCAGTGGGGCGATACCAGTTTTGCCAATGGCGATGTTTTGGTGCCTCCTGTACTTCTTTCTGTCTGTCTGTTGCCAACTCTCCTGATTTTACTTCTGCCAGTCCGATTTGCAACATATTTCTCTTGACTTTTTCTTATTCTTAAAATTTCCCACAACTTTTATTTAGCTTGGCTTTAATACTTTGTTATTTTCACACAAAAATATGATTTTTGTCGTCTGAAAGTGCTTGTTTTGTCTCTAGATGCATATAGAAGGAAACCAATGTCATTTATAAGATATGGTGCGTTTCTGTAACCACGTGTGCAAAAACATAGTGTTCCGTTTCTCCAGTGAGAATCAAGGTCCGTTGTGGGTCATCTGGCATATATTACATGGTTCGTAGCGGTCCTTACAAGTGCTTATAAGTCCTTATATTTGAAAATAAAATATAAAGGCCCTTATAGGTGCTTACTTTTTCTTTAAAGCCCATATTTTTTTGCTTTTAGTGCTTTTTTTTTTTTTTTTTTTTAATCCTTTGTTTTTAATGAATGCGCATTTTTTCCCGTACCAAAGCCGAAACTAAATAAACAACTTTTCTTCCTTATATGCAACGTCAGATGGTGAATCATAAACCCGGAAATTGCTATTCCCCCATCCTCTGCATTAACGTAATCTATGGTGCGAGCGAGAGTACAGACAGGTGCACGTCGTTCTATTGGCCAAAGAATTGCGAAAACGGTAGAAAATTCCGGTACATTCGGTATTCTTTTCCTCCCACCCAAATACTACACACGTTTGAATTTCTTCAAGATTTTAATAATTTGCATTCTCGTTCCGCGTGGTCAGTTCATATTCGTGTTTATTATGATCGTTATGCTTATATTATGAGCATATGTATGAATATTTATAATAATATAGTTGCAGTAACTGCTGAAGTATAGATAAATTTCCAAAAATGGGTGTGTTTTTACACAGATTAGCTTTCTAAGGAATAATATTCGGAATGGCTTAAATAAAAGGAAAGTAATCAAATAGTCAAAATAATTTCATTTTCTTTGCTAATACATTATACAGTACGGAGGTTGGGAGTTTCTCTGCAAAATCTCTGATATTGAAGCAGTGGACTTTTTTTTGTCACTGTCCAATCTGGATTGAATAGGACTAAAAGTTTTTGCGGTCTACCCAACCCAAGCAAAGATTGATTCTATTCCGGAAATTTAATACAGTCTGTTGAAAATTAAAGTCTTTTCTTTTTCTTTTCCTTTATTTAGTTCTTTATTCTCCAAATACCGGCAGGTGTTGATTCCGATTGCGTAATATCACATATGGAAGAATTACGGGGCGCACGTATTGCGCAATAACGTTTGCGGTATTTTGCAGAGATAATTAATTTTGATTTGTTTATGAACACTTAAATGAGTTTTACTGTACTTTCTAAGCAGAATATTTCTCAGTTCCGTTGGTCTATTTTTATATGATGCACATATCGAAACGTCAAAATCATTTATTTAGCCTAAATTTAAATCTAAAGAACGGCTACAATCTCCCCCACTCCTCTTTTTCCAGTTACTATCCGGAATTTCCGAGTATGCGGGGGTTAGTTAAGCTTTTACTGTTAAAGGATGACTGAATGAAGCAATTTCCCGTTTTCTGATTTCAGAAATGTGCCTCTTTTTTACATAAATTACTTCGCTTGGAATATATGTTAAGGGAAAACTGTTAT